ATCCATGTGCATTTATCTGTTTGTTTAATAGTCAGTCTGCCTAAGAACACACAAAGTAGGGACCATGAAAGCCTGATGCCCACTGCAGTGTAGACAGACTGTTGGTATTTCCTGGTATATATATGAAATGAATAGATGTTGATGGTTAGGTCACAAGGGAAGAGACCATGAATAGTTCTCTCTAAATTAACTGGAAAAACTTCCATTTCTACCAACTGACTGACCCTCATTGAAATAACCATGGTTAATAGGATGTCATTCCCATCTCTAGTATTCCAGTGAGGTTCACCATGAGATATTAGATATTTTAAAGTCCTCTTAGACCTATCTGCTTACATGCCCCTTGACCTTTCTAAAGCTCTTACCCCTTGCTGGATACAAGAAATTATAGGGGTTCTGTTGTTTTCTCTGCACTATTTGGAAAGAGAACATAGGTCTTTTGTTCTAAGATCCTCCTATCCATCTTGGTGTTCTCTGCCTTGCTCCTCTCTCGACCTGGCCTATAAAACAACAACTACTTTCAAGGACTAATTTTCAATATCCAGGTTATAGAATCAGCCTAGGTGTATGTCAACAGATGAATAAAGAAAATGTGGTATATAAACCCAATGGAGTTTTATTTATCTCAAACAAGAACAAAAGTATACCATTTGTAGGATACTGGATGGATTTGGAGAGTATCATGTTAAGCAAAATAAGCCAGAGTCAGAAAGATAAGTGTCATATGTTTTGTTTATATGTGGGAAGCTAGAGGGGAAAAAAGAGGGATTGGCATGAAAGTAGAAAGGAAACCATTGGAGTAAAGGAAGGGGATGAATTGGAGAGAAGAAGGAAGAAACAGGTGCAGTACTAGGGATTGAAACCAATCAAATTATGTTATATGCATGTATGAATATGCCACAATAAAACTCACCACTCTATATAATTAATATGCACCACTACCAACAAAAAGAACCTAATTTATTCTCTGCTTTCTGACCCTCTTGCTTTCCTGTGGTCTGGAGGTGTCTGTCAACAGATGAATAGATAAAGAAAATGTGGTATAAAAACACAATGGAGTTGTGTTTTTTTATTTTTTTAAATTTCTTAGTGGTGGATAGCAAGAATTCTCATCCATTGATTAAGTGTTCCTCCAGGTTTATCTTTTGCTTTTGCTTTTTTTTTTTCATTGTACCCAGGGACTTGTGCATGCTAAGCAGGCACTCTACCAACTGAGCCATATCCCCAGCCGTAGCAGGTTTCTCTTTTATAGCAGTATCTATTATACTGATTGGACAGGGAGAATGTGAAAGAATATACAGGAATTTGGGAGAAAATACCCCAGGGTTAATGTTTCAAAAATATCAACTGGGCCAATTTCAAAGGAATGGAATTAGCTGTGGTTATCCTAAATTTCCAAAGTCAGTTTACTGTTGATTCTAGAAAGACAAATGCATGCCACTTGAGAAAGAAAACAGGAGGCTTGCAAAATGAGTGAGTCTCCTGAGGTGCCTGTTTTTGCTACTGTCATGAAGTTTCTCCTGAATAGTTGAGACTGTGATAAAATAAATGTCTGTCATGTTATTTAGAAGGGGTGACAGGCTGAGAGCCATTGAACAAGTGACAAATTGTCCTTGACTTGGTAAGCTTCCATGCTGTCTTTGGTTGATATGGATCTTGTATTGAGTGATATACAGTGAGAGTTTCTTTTGTCAGTCCAGTGACACAATTTTAGGCAAGGAAAGCATGTCTCTGTGTCAGCTAGAGATGACAATAATAGGTATCACCTGCCTTAATAACCTAACTACATCTGGAAAGTTGTGGGTAAACAAGATTTTACGCTTTATCATCAGGCTTCCAGACAGGGCTCAGGTAACTGTATGTAAAAATCTCATGCTCCATTGCACAATTAGTTGGTGTTTGTAAAGAAAAACAAGTATCAAAGCTTTTTATAGCATTTGTTCCTTCACAGCAAGAATATATTACAAGTTTGTGTAAGGATTTATATTATCGTGCTTAACCACTGTGACTTTTACAACTGCATGCTAGCTGGAGCACAGTAAATTACTGGAAAACCACTATGAAGCTTTGCCTGCTGTTTTGAAATCTTTAGAAGTTACAGAAAAACATAGCTTCATATGTCATTTCCATTCCCTTTGGGCATATCAACAGCCTGAGATGCCCCTCCTAATAACATGTCAAATTCTTGATAGAAGTTTTTCCTACAGAATAGGTTACCAATCACGTATTTCTCTAGAATCTACTTCATTATCGAGAGGCCTAATGTAGTATTCAATACCTAACAAAACCAATGTGAGCAGGGTGTGGTGGTGTACACTGTAATCCCAGTGGCTTGGGAGGCTGACAGGAGGATTGTGAGTTCAAAGCCAGCCTCTACAAAAGTGATAAGCAACTCAGGGAGACCCTGTCTCTAAATGAAATATGAAATAGTGCTGTTGATGTGGTGCCCCTGATGTGGTTGATGAGTGCCCCTGAGTTCAATCCCTGGTACCCACCCCCCACCCTCAAACAACAACAACAAAAAAATGTGAATGTACCTGTTAGGGGAAGGGAACCAAATGTTCCAACTTTTTAAATTGCAGTCATATTTAAAGACACCTGTAAATGGCCAAATGGAGCCTGAAGTGGATGAGTCTCCTAGCACAGAGCCACCCTTTCTATTGCAATTGACTTGCTGTTTGTGGAAGCAGCTAGTGCCTGATGGTTGTCTTTTAGGGATGGGATGAATTCAGAATTCATCCCATCTAGGGAGAATGAAGACTAGGGAGAATATTTAAAATGAATAAGACTTAGGACTCAAAATTTCAGAAAAATTTTACTTCTCAATAATGGTCATCTTCCAGGAGAAGGATTTTCTTTTCAGACACTGGAAAGCAAAAATCTAACAGCTTTTATTGGTCAGGAAAAAGGTTGTTTGCTATTCATCCAACACTAATGTAGGATAAGGGCACTTTTAAAGTTTTCCTGTTTGTGGTCTTAATTTCTAGGACAGATTTCCTAACTTAAATTTTGTTGTTGTTTTTGATCATAGATTATCACTGAGAAATAGGATGGGGGAAAGCTACAAAATAGTGTATTAAAGCTTTTAGGCCCTGACGCTGACACAAGTAGCCAATTTTACCTAAGATATAAACACCTTCCACAGTAAAACAAAAAAAGGCTTGTTTTGAGTTAATGAAAACTTTATAGAGTAATCATGTATTTAAGAATGGTAAGAGCCTACTTATCTAATGTGACTGGGACTGGTACTTGGTTGACTAGAGGAAACAATTTTAAAATGACATTATTAATTAAGATATAAATTTAAATCATATGCTACATTTTCTCTAATTTTTTGATGTACAGCCAACTTCTAATGTCCTCTGATTTGAGTGCCCTTCAACTATTTGCATAAACCACATCCATAATATATTAATTAAGTTTTCCAGATTGATCTTCTATAATGTGGAATGAGAATTTAGCAATCTGAACTCATAAAACTGGATTTTTACATGTTTAACCAACTTTTTAGAACTGTTTTGCCAATTACTTGACAGCAATTTTTTTTCAATTTGTCAGTCGAGTCTTTTGGTAAACATTTGATTTGTTAGTTTTCTTGTCAAAGATAACTGACATATAGTATGTAAGTCATAAATTTATATACTAAGCACACTTGGTATAAACAGACATAAACACAATGATTTGGGTAAGCACAGTCCTCAACTGGAAGGGCAGAAGTACATAGGTGTGCAGAGAAGCAACTAGCCATGGGTACTCCCTATGGCAAGGGCAGGGTGAGCACTTGTTATACATGACTGGAGACTGATAGAAAATTTCTGAATTTGTTAAAGGGTCTTTAATTAAGAGAGTTTCTGCTATAAATACATTTTAATTAATATGCATAAGTAGTATCTCTTAAAGAACATTTAAAAAATGTTTGCTAGTATAGGTCCTACAGAATTTGCTGTAATGAACAACCAAAGCTCACTTATAATCAGCAGAATTTGTCTGTATACATAATTGGTGTTCTGAAGTTCTTCCCCCAGCAATCTAGTTTACACTCTGGTACTATAATTGGTTTGTTCATCAGAAGTTTTTTCTTAGATGAGAATAGATAATGTTTTGGTCCAATTCTCATTGAGTATCACAATTTTTAAATTAATGATTTGGAGTCTTAATGAACTATTCTATTTATATATGCTAGAGAACCTAAATACTCCTATCAGTGTTTTCAGTTAACATTTCTTTCTCCTAAATACTGGTAACTTATTGCTATATATCTGATATATCAAGAATTGTTTTAAAGTGAAAATAAATAAATATTGTTTTCCTCCTGATAGAAGTGTATGTGTGTATATATGTGTATGTGTTTATACATAGACAGAAGGAGACCCAAAAAGAGGCAAAGAGAATGACACAAAGATGACAAAGAAAAAAGTCATACAGAGAGACAGTTTTAGATATTATATACATATATGTATTTATATTTTAAATAATAATGTTTATATTTATATTATATATAATCAAATCTAATTATATTATAATTATATAAATTGGTATATATTTTATATATAGTACATATATTTATATATAAATGATGCATATATATGGATATAAGAGAAAGTGACAGAAACAGAGAAGGTAGAGTCAGAGAAAAAAATAATAAATCAGAGGAAAATGAGGCAGAAATAAAATGTAAAGCAACAGAAACAGAGACCATGAGAGAGACTAAGTGAAACCAAACCATCTAGTGAATCAGAAGAAGAGCCACCCCAGCAATGTTGCCCAAGACTAGCTTCATATCTGCCCTCTACCGAATTGGATGTATGTAAGTTAGAGGCCTTGGGGAGACCATGTCACTGACCAGGACAGGGAAGCAGGCCCAGGGCTCACCAGGAGACAGTGTCATAACAACACTAGACCTACACCCTGGGCATTAATTAGGTCGTTCTGTACCACTTGCTCATATGTGTTAAATGTGTTTTCCAACTCTGAATGTATTTAAAATGTTTTGGCTGCAGAAAGGTACTAAAAGAAATCTCTGTTGGAGAGTTAAATCCAAATGAGACTGTGCAGGCCAATTTGGAAGCCCAGCTCCTTTCCAAGCTGGACCATCCAGCCATTGTCAAGTTCCATGCAAGTTTTGTGGAGCAAGATAATTTCTGCATTATCACGGAGTACTGTGAGGTGAGACTCTTCTTCTCTCTTGGAAATGTTAATAAAAGTCTGTTGCATAGTCAAAAACCTTATATAAAGAGCCATCTGGTCAATTATCAAACTATAAGTTAAACTATAAAGACTTGGAATCTCATGTCTTGGAGCTAAGAATAATCATCTCTAAGTAACTGACAAAATTCCCTTTAAAATTTTGTTGTTATTGCTGTAGATGGGCACAATACCTTAATTTTATTTATTTATTTTTATGGGGTGCTGAGGATGGAACCCAGGACCTGACACGTGGCAGACTGGCACTCTATCACTAACCACAACCCTAACTCCAGCAAAAATCATTTCTAATTTCCCTTTGGAAAATTCAGTAAGAATGAATATAATTTAAGGAGAAATATATGCAGAAGATGTTTCAATATTTTTTTGCAGAGGGTGTCCACCAAACCTTAGATGGACATTTAAATACCCTAACAGAGCCCTGGACAGAGCAGGGGTATATCTCCTGAGTTTTGGCTTCTAGTTTTATGGCTTATTTAATGGAAATTTGAAAATGCAAATAATGTCCCCCCCACTGCTGAAATCCTTTATATATATTGATTTATGATTTATGGCTTCAGGTATTTGCAATTTTTCCTGCTACTCTTTGTTCTTTCCAAGTAACAGCTTTGTATTTTATTGAGCCCCAAGAAGGGGAAATTGACAACGTGTAGCTATAGTGCAGATCTGTTACTCCTGAGGGGTTAAGTCTGGGAGAGGTGGCAGGGTTGGGTTAGGCAGGAGAATATCTGAAGATAAATTACTCAAAAAGTATCTCCCAGAGTATTCTGGGAGCTAGGATTAGCCAAATGCTTCTCAGGAGAATTTGGAACTGTGTAGAATGAATTTAGTCAGCTCATCACTTGGGTGTTTCTGGAACCCCCAAAAAACAATGTTGGGTAGAAAGAAGTACTTTAGAGTAGAAGTCAGGCTTTTTTGGGTCAGAAAGTTTGGAAATCCACATACAATCCAAAGGTGCCTGGTCTATCATAGGCAGGAGAAGGAAAACAAGCTCAGAAGTACAAATGGCAATGAAAACCAGCCTTGCCGGCTTTACACATCATCTGGTGTATCACCCAAAGTGAAACTAATAGCAAAATTTATTTGAATGAGTTGGAAACATTCCAGATTTTGACCATTTTCCTTTAGATCAGCCTCCCCAGCTCAGCCTTGCTGGGTGTTTACTCACTTAGATCTTGCCCATCTTCTATTTGGAGGAAAGTGGGGAAAAAGAAGAAAACCATGTTATTTGGATATCATCTTCTCTGTTATCTAATGAACTCTTAAGAAAATAAATATGATGATGAAGTGTATCAGAGTGCTGGTGGTACTGAATAGATTTTCTTGCAAATGTGCTACTAATCCATTCAAAACTATAGATATTTGCATAGGTACTGTACTATGATTCACTGGCTATAATTTTCTTCTTTAGCCCCTTTAGTTAATAAAAGTCTTATATCAGAAATAACTAACTCCAGCTGCTCATGATGACTACTTCTACATTCACTACTACCTTAGGCTTAGTTAATCTTTCAAAGACTCTTTACTTCCTGTTCTTAAAATATTTTAAATTGTACTTGGCACTGTTCAATAAAAATTACTGTGATGCTAGAAATGATTTATATTTGTGTTGTCTAACGTTAGTCATACATGGCATTTTAGGTCTTGAAGTTTGGTTAGAGCAATTGAGGTATTGAATGTTAAATTTTATTTAATTTTAAATCATTTAAATTTAAATTACCCTGTGTAGCTACTGGCTAACATATTGGACAGGTCTAGATGATATGTTATAATATTCCCTAATTTTTTTCTATTTTAATATAATTTTGAACTACCAGACAAGTTACAAGAATAACACAATATACCCCTATAGATTCTTCATCCAGATTCCCTAATTGTCATCATTTTTCTACATTTTCCTTATCATTCTATCTATTTATCTATCTGTTGTATTTACCTATTTTTTTCCTGAACCATTTGAGTATACATTTCTTATAGTTTGGCTCTTGAATGTCCCCTAAAGGCCCATGTATTAAAGACTGAGTTTCCAGCCTGTGATATTGTTAGGTGATGGAACCTTAGGAGGTGGGATCTAGTAGAATTAAGTTAGGTCATTTGGTGTGTACCTTGAAGGGGATATTGGGATGCTGGTGTCCCTCCTTTCTTTTCTTCCTGGCTGCCATGAGGTGAACAGCTTTGCTCCAAATGTTTCTCCCCACCATGATGTTCCATCTCACTACAGGCTCAAAAGCAATGGAGGCAGCTGACCATGGACTAAAATCTGAAACTATGAGCAAAATAAACCTTTTCTCCTTTTAAGTTGATTTTCTTAAGTCTTTTGTCATAGTAAAGGAAAGCTGAGAAGTACAAAGTTGCAGTTGATGCCTCTGTTCCCCAAATACTACTGTATCTTATAAGGCCAAGAACCTTCTCTTATATAACCACAGTATAATGACAAAAACTTGGGAAATTAACACAGAAATAATGCAAGTATGTAATTCGGTGGTTTTGAAAGTGGGATTCCAGACCAGAATTATCAATATAACTTGGGAACTTGTTAGAAATACAAATTCTTGGCCTCCAGCCCAGTCTTACTGAATCAGAAATTCGGGGGTGAGGCTTGACCATCTGTGTTTTGACAAGCTCACCAGGTGAGTTTGAAACAAGCTAAAGTTTGAGAATCACCCATCTTATTCATAATCCCTATTCAAATTCAGCCCATTTGTTCAAATTATGTCCTTAGAAAGGACATTTCTATAAAAATGGGTTTTGTTACACAGGATGCAATCTGGAATCATCTGCTTTAATTTTAAAATGATGGTGGTTTCTATGGATTGAGCTGCACTCCCAGCAGGGATGTTGCCATGGCAATGACTGCAGGCTGCACTAGAGAACAGCTGCGGGGCTTCCAGGGCTCTCTGTGCCCTGAACTGTCAGTCTGCCACTTCCCAGGCTTCTAAGCACTGACGTGTGCAGATTGCTCCACTCTCTTTAGCAGAGATATTTCTCAGTTTCAGACACAAATTTACTTGTACAGGTCTGACATTATCTTCTTTTTATTAAGGTAAAATAATGCTACAGGAAATGGCAGGTGGCCAAACTTGCACCGTATAAAATATTGTTATCATCAGCGAAATGGATGATATTTTTATCCCCAAGTTCCCTTATGTGTAATTTAATTTGAGACCTTTCAAGACTGAAATATGTAAATGCATTCATGAAGCCTCTACATCTACTACCCAATCCTTTGGGAGACATCACCTCATATTATGGGAGTAAAAAAGCAAATGACCAAACTCTCACAACTTGTCAAAATGTAACCACATCTTTGATGTGATATAGTTTCTAAACTACCGAAGGGGCAGAGTACTTCAGATATTGTTTTTTTCTGTTGTGGAGGAAGTGTAATTACTTGCTGTCCCATTTTCTTTCTCCATGGATTCATACATTTTCATCTCTGCTTAGGTCATTTCCTATCCCAGCGTCTTTCCTCTTAGCCCCAAATCTTCAAGTTTTAACCAGCATCCCAGGCCCAGTGTGAATTCTGGTTCCCCCTCTCCTATAACCAAAGGCTCCCATAAGCATGGTTCTTCTCCCACAAACAAAAGTTCCCATGATCTTCTGACTGAAAGTAACTCCCCATCACTCTGTCCCCAACTCTCATAGCATTTTTATCTTGTATGGTGCTCAACACAACATTCATCATATAAGCCATCTCAGACTCTCAACATGTGAGATTGACTTTTTCCTGATTAATTTTTCTGTCACATCATAATCCTACATAGTGGACCACAAAGAAGTTAGCACTCAAGACTTTTCCCTCTTTTATTAATTCTATGTCATTTTGCTTCTAGCTTCCTCCTACCTCATTTCTGTAAAACACTGGTGAAAAAAAGATACAATATTGGGTACTCCCACCCATCATACATATCAAAAGTAATTTGTCCTACTTATTTGGTTGGTACCTAACAATGTACTGAACTAGAGACCTGTGAAATATAGCCCAAAGGTCTTTCATTTGGCTAAGGAGAAGACATCCTCAGAAAGTTTAGGATTAGTAGACACAATAGAGATTAGGTAAGGTCACATATATTCAGGAGAGAGGGGCACAGTTGTGGGAAGAACATATGGAATCTGGGCACAAAGCAGTAAAGGTTGGACTTTTCTATTCTCTGGTGATATTAACTTGCTACACAAAATTATATCAATCTATTAGTAGTTATAAACATTGACTACACATGAGAATCACCTGTAGAACTCAAAAAATCCTGGGTCCAAGACCCACCTTCAGAAAATCTGATTTATTTGCTGTGGGGCATTGCTCAGCCAAAAGGATTGTTGAAATCTCTCCAGGTGATTCTAATATGCAGCCAAAGCTGTGAACTGCAAAAAAAGAGAAAATGGCTAGTGTGGAAACCAACAGTCAAAAAAGAAAAATGAGCCAAAGTTTAAGTACCACTGAGCAAAGATGACACCCAGATCCTGAGTATAGGCAATTCTACCTCTGGTTCTGGGTGTAGTTTTATGATTAAGCCATCAAACTTGTTGCTGTTACTCATAAAAGTCACCCAATTCATTCTCCTGGCGCCCTGAGCAACCTTCTGGTTCCAATTTGGCCTCTGATGCATGCCTTTTCTAAAAGAAAGATATGCTCCTTAAACTGACATGAGCTCCCTGTTGCCTTGGCAATTCCAGTTCTCATTGTTTCTGAATAAATTAGTTTTCTAGATTATTTATTGGTTCCTTCTGAGCTTGAAGTTCACAGGGGCAGCAGTAATTGTCTTTCCAAAAGCCATTACCAAGTCTTAACTCTGTGTCGGATACAATTCCTATGCATAGTATGGGATAACAGACATAATTTGGTAATATTTATTTAATGAACTTGTCTGGTAGGCTAAAATGAGTCATTTATATCAATGGTGAAAATGTAAGGGGTAATATGGTATCGTGGAAAGGGTGTGATTGAAGCACTGTTGCAGTTA